GACCATGTTTGTCAGCAAACGCAAACTCTAGTGCTCTGAAAGTTTGTTGGAAATTTTCATGAAGTATAGAAAATGCTACAGCGTGGAGTATTAAATAAATATTGCTGGGTTAGATTTGAATAAATGTTAGTCAATTAAAAATAGGTAAAGTGTTTGTCTTGAGCTTTAATATCATCATAAAGAGTACTCCGCGAAGAATCCCATGATATATTTTGTGAAATAAACTCTGCTTAATGATCAAATAGCTTTAGGACATTATCATTTAAAAACTGCTTTATTTACTAGAGTTCGTGATTCGATTTTTTCAAAATTGTCGCTGTAATCATTAAATGTATGCCTTATTGATTCTGCTATAATAAGGACTTTTCTGAGGTCTAAAATCGTCGAAAGGAAAGTTTTCTGAATTTCTCGTACTTTCTTGACATTCGAAATAAAACTGAGTTCTTGTCACAGACAGAAGTACATTTTCCCAAGCATTGCTTTAATTCTTACCTTTTGTATTCCTGTTCCAAGAAACATGTCATGTTGCTGGTACAACCAAAGCAGGAATCGCCAACTCTGAAATCTTGTAAATTTTGTAAATCCAAGAAATTGAGGGTGAAATTTACGAATATAAATGAATTAGTTCAAAAAGCACATAGAGTCCATTTATGAAACAAAAGAGTATGCATAATACCTGATGCATCTATCAATGAATCCAGACAAGAAGCGATCGACTGGTTCGCGTGTGACGACCGTAAATCGGTAACGCTCCAAATCCTTGGCACGCAGATGCAATCCCCGCTCCATTGCGCCTATGCTTTTGAACTCGTTCTTGCCTTCACACATTCTGAAAACTGCGCTTGATTCTTATGATAACGTCATTGTCAAACATATGACTCGGCAGTAACGGAATCTACCAGTTTTTTATAAGATTCCCATCTTGTCGTTCTTATTTCGCATTATGAAACCCAAATGAGTATTTCAAAGGAAAGAGATTTGAAATATTAAGATTTATCCTTTTAAAGACAGCTAGTTCAAGTCGAACTATGATTCGTCAAAAGTCATCGCTTCGTTGTCCTTCTGCTATTGTAAAGTCTCAGGTGAGCTAGAGAGCTATTGTTTCGTCTTATTATGAACAGTTCACCTTATATCAGCGTACTCTCTGAGGATGCTACGTCCAGCATCAATGAATTCTTTTTCTCGAATTAGGAAGCAGAATATCGCAGACATCACAGTAGACATGCTTTTCTGGATCAAGCAGGTCATCATGCGATGATTCGGAGCAGTCTGTAAATACTCATTACTAAGCTGGTGGAAAAACATATCCGCATAAATTAAAGAAGAAAACTAGTATAAAATCTGATATTTCCACATAAAATGAGGACCGATCCTAGTTACTTTTCAGTTATGTACTATGCACTATAAATCTCAATTAATCATAAATTTTATCGGTCCAAATTTTCATATCTTCAAAAATTCTAATATTTAAGCCTTTATACTTTACATTTATACTGGAATTATTATCCAAGCTAAATCATACCACCAATAATGGAGAAATCTTCGCAAATGGTGCCACACATTCCGCTTTTCCCGTCTCGCACATATCCGCTGCACTTAGACCAAGGAAATTTCGTCCTGGTAGGGGCTAGAACATATCCACATACATAGAAACAA